GGGTCTTTTAATTTCGTGGCTGCTGTCGCCATCTGCAGTGATCATGGAGCCCAAGAAAGTAAAATCTGTCACTGCCTTCATATCTTCCTCTTCTATTTGCCGGGAGGTGATGGGACCAGTGGCCATGATCTTAGTTTTTTGGATGTTGAGCTTCAGACCATTTTTTCGTACTCTCCTCTTTCACCCTCATTAAGAGGTTCTTTAATTCCTCCTCCCTTTCTGCCATCAGAGCGGGATCATTTGCATATCTGAGGTTGTTGATATTTCTTCTGGAAATCTTAATTCCGGCTTGGGGTTCATCCAGTCCAGCCTTTCACATGATAGCCTTTTGTTTTTCTTACGTTTGGAGAGCCAAGTGGAAACTAAATTAGCAGAAGCATCCAAATCAAAAGGGATTAATTGGCAAACACTGAGGGGAAGGAACCCTCTACTTTAAATATGAAGTGCATTCTGTCACAAGCAAGGTTTTACCCCAAATGCACTCTCTGATGCATCAAGAGATTTGGTTTTTGAGTAAAACGTTTTCCACACTGCAAACAACTGTATGGTTTCTCTCCCGTATGGACTCTCTGGTGCCTCACCAGATGTGATTTCTGGCCAAAACGCTTCCCACACTCTGGGCAATTGTAGGGCTTCTCTCCCGTGTGGGTTCTTTGGTGACTGAGAAGGTTTGATTTATCGGAAAAACGTTTCTCACATTCCCCGCAGCTGTAAGGTTTCTCCCCTGAGTGGATTCTCTGGTGTCCGCTCAGATGCGACTGCTGAAGGAAACGTTTTCCACACTCCAAGCATATGTACGGTTTCTCTCCTGTGTGGATTCTCTGGTGTTTCGCAAGCTCGGACTGCTGCGGAAAACCTTTCCCGCACTCTACGCACGTATAGGGTTTCTCTCCGATATGTACCCTGTGGTGTATCACCAACGCGGAGCACTGTGCAAAAGATTTCCCGCATTCCAAACAAGTGTAGGGTTTTTCTCCTGTGTGAACCCTCCGATGGTTAAGAAGATCGGAAAGCTGAGGAAAGCATTTCCAACACTCTGTGCATTTGTAGGGCTTCTCCCCTGTGTGGATTCTCTGATGGATGACGAAAGCGGACTGTTGAGCGAAACTTTTCCCACAGTCGGGGCAACGATAGGGTTTCTCTCCCGTGTGGAGTCTCTGATGAATGACGAAAGCAGATTGTTGAGCGAAACGTTTCCCGCACTCTGGGCAATGATAGGGTTTCTCTCCCGTATGGATTCTCTGGTGATTGATCAGGCAGGATTTGTACGCAAAACATTTCTCACACTCCCGGCACTTGTAGGGTTTCTCTCCTGTGTGCGCTCGCTGATGCACGATGAGTTTGGAATGGTAAGCAAAACTTTTCCCACACGCCTGACACTGATACAGCCTCTCTTCCATGTGGGCCCGCCGACGATTCGCAAGTTCTGCTGGTTGAGAAGAACATTTCTCACGCTCTGAGCAGCTGGAAGCATCTCCTCCCAAGCGGATTCTCTGGTGTTGAGTGAGAGATGCTTTTCGTGTGAAACACCGGCCATGCCCCAACCATAAGCCGTTCTTTGTACATTCACCTGCAAGGAGAAAATGCACGCAGAGATGAGATCCACTGGGGTCTCCGAGATAAAACCCTTTTTAAAAGCAGATAATGAGAAAAAGAATGGGGTCGGCAGACGAGATCTGCTAAATCAGCTTTGCATTTAATTTTCATACAGCGGATAAGGACATATCAGGGTACGGACAACATAGCCCCCCAAAAAAGTGAATTTGCTCCTTGTGAAATCATACCACGGAATTCGGGTTTCCCTGGGTCTGTCTGAATTAACTTGCCACACAGGGAAAGGAGAAAACTGGCTACACAGCCTTGTTTGAAGCTTTTTAACACAGATCTCCTGTAGCCCTATAGGAGATGCAGCTACAGAACTACTTAACAAGTTGTAAACAAGGCTTTTTAGCCAATGTTCTCATCTAGTTTGCTTCCTTCCTTCCTTCCTTCCTTCCTTCCTTCCTTCCTTCCTTCTCTAGCTGCCCTAACTCAACAGCGCTGTACTGAGGTGTTTAGAAAAAGAAAAAAACAAACAAACAAAAAGACAATACATATTCTCCCTGGAGGGGAATGGTGGAGAAAGAAGCATCATGCTTTTCTGCATGACTGGATGGTTAAAAAAGTGGGGGCAAAAGCTACGGATTGAAGGAGGGGAACACTCCAGGCTGATTCACATTTCCTTTTGTGTGACGAAATGCAAATCAGTCTGTCCCAATCCTGTAGCATTTCCCACATTTTTAACCCACGTGTCACACCCGTGGTCTTCCAGAGTCATGCGTTGCTGTCATGGGAATATCTGTAAACCCTGCTCCAGATTCCACTGGCATCTCATGGAGACTTGCTCTAAATTCAGCAGTGAGCGCAAGCGTTTGCTTTAGTACAAAGAGCTGTGTGACTTGGCGCAGCCATGTAAAGGCCTATGTTACCTTCTGATCTTGTGGCAATCCACCTCTGAAATTTACACTGATCGTGTGATGCTGGCACAAAACCACAGAAAGGCTTCTGATTTCCTTCAACATTGAGGACAGCGTTTCAATTCCCTACAACTTTTTCTGCTTGTGCATTTGTTTCCTTTTGTGTGGTTGCATACAACTGAGAGAGAGAGAGGGTGTCAGATGTTTTTAAAAAATACCCTTAGTGGCCAGGTTCTCATCCTGCACATATGATCTCAACATCTAAAAGCCAAATCAGTTCTCAGACTGAAGTGGAGCAGGAGGTGAGGGGTCGGTGTGAAAGGCCTCCCTGAAAATTAGTGTTTTTAACTGCTTCTGAAGTGCGTGCAGAGTGTCATACCCAGGGGAGCTGGTGCCACCACCAAGGTTTTACCTTGGAAAACACCTTTGAATCCCAACCCATGTGGGTAATTCTGCAAGAGTAAGGAGGTGACACTGGAGACCAAGATTAAGGTCATCCACACTCTTGTCTTTAAAATCAAGTTGTTTGAAATGTGGAGCTTTGAAGAAGTTTTAACGCTCACTTACAAGGCCCTAAACGGTTTGGGACCTCGATACTTGGCGGAACGCCTGCTCCCACCAAGATCTACCCGTGTCACTTGTGCGAGCCAGGAGGTGAGGCTGAGGAGCCTGACGCCGAGGGAAGCCCGGAGGGAAAAGACGCGAAACCGGGCCTTCTCGGCGGTGGCTCCTCGCCTTTGGAACAATCTCCCTCCTGAGATTCGCGCGGCCCCTACGCTGGGTACATTTAAAACTCAACTAAAAACATGGCTTTACATCCAGGCCTTCCCTCCTGCCAGCATTTAATTTAATTTTCTTTCTCTTGGCTATCTATCATTTATTATCTTTTGGAATGTTCTGTGGGTAACGATGTCAATGGATTTATATTATTTTAATTGTATACATGTTTGTTAGCCGCCCAGATGGGCGGGATATAAATCAAATAAATCAAATAAATAAATCAAATAAATAAATCAAATAAATAAATAAATCAAATAAATCAAATAAATCAAATCAATCAATCAATCA